GACGCGTTTATATAGAAGAGTGGATCACGTTTATGCATCTATCTATCTATTAGTGCGCGACGTATTAGTATCGTTTTTCGCCCGGCCACGACGCGTAACGGCAACGGCCTCCCTTCGATCCCTCTTCCGATCGAAACGATAAACGATTCGCTAATTCCGGGACGGGACAATGATGGAGATATTGAAATCGAACGGTGAGTGGAGAGGATATCGTCGATAACGATGTATATCGTTTCGATCGGATTCGAGAAATAAATTAATTAATTAATTTAAGGAATAAACTTAAGCTACGACGATAGGTTTCGACGAACGGGGAGGAGAGATATCGTATTCGAGATTTTATTTTTGAATAATTATTTGATGCTCGGCAAAGATTTCTTTTTTTCTTTTTAAATTTAGGACTTTTCTTTTGTAAAATTTTATGTATCTTGTTTATATGTATGTATATATATATATATAAGTGTCACGCGCTTCGAAGACTCATTTTTTCTTTTTTTCATAATATTCCCTTATCTACAAATCGTCCGTGACATTCTTGCGACACTTGTTAGTTGACTTGAACCAGAGAGAATTATTTCTACTCGCACGTATGAAAATTAAAATTGTTTAAAAAACTAGTTCCTACTCGTACGAATTGTGATTTTCTGACTAATAAGAAAGAGAGAGAGAGAGAGAGAGAATATGTTGAAACGTTTAAGAAATCATTTCGAGGAATCTAGTTGACTACGCTTTAATGTCAAGTTTTCGATGACTGGTCATTTCTTGTTCGATCACGTGTCGAAAATATAATCGCTGGCTTGGCGCTCGAAAAACGCGGCGTATGTGTAATTTCGAGAATATCGTTGTCGACAATTTCGAGCTCGCAACAAATCCCCTCTAATTAACCGATTCATCATTCGAGTGACGTTCACGTTTAATCGATTAAGAAAAATTTATAATTATCATTTATAATACGCGAAACAGATGGAGCAATTTGAATAATTTGTCAAATAGATCACCATGTAAATTTCTTATTATCATAATTATATTCCTAAAGGCTTAAATTTGCATTAATATCCGATCTATAAAACCAATTATAAATAAGTTAGAACGATGTTGTTGCGTTCATACAAGAAACTTGTATAACACAATTTCAGAAAAAAAAAAAAAAAACACGTTCTTCGATAATTCCTTCTAAGAACATATTAACACTTGAATCCTCCATTTCCTATGGCCGAATTCATCCGTGTACACCGAACTTCAATTTCCTCCTTTAATGCGCGCGGCTCTCTTCCTTCTCTTCGACGAATCTCTCGAAATCGCCTCGTTCAAGATTCCCGCCCGATCCCATTAATCCCATTTCCTCTCGTCTCCAAGCGTCCTCTCGCCCGTCCCAATTGGAACAAAACCGTTTTCCACCCCTGTCAATACTCGTCGTTGCAAAGAAATTTGATCGAAGAAATCTTCTCTGCACAGGGTGTTGAAAAGTTTTCGATTATTTCTGATCTTTTCCATTAATCAAACTATCACATAACGTAATAATCCTAGGTATAACGACGAAACGTTTCACGATTTCACGAGACGATGGGGGGAAATGATGTGGCCGATGATGATCGTGCCGCTTCACGTTCTAACACGAATCTTAATTATTGTTCATAAATTAATGGACAAGGCCGATGACCGATCGTTCCACCGATATTTTTGTACCGCCAAGTTTTTGTGACGCTATTTTTAAACAGAAAGAATTGACCTTTCAAACTTGTCGCGCGAATATATTAACACCCTGTACAGTATCGGGTTGGCGGAAGATATATCATCGTCTTTCCTCGTCCCTGAAGCAAAAGGCTCCTCCGTCGAGGCGTATAAGAGCCAGTCCCGGGGCCCGGGCCCCATTTTCGTTCCAACGGACGAATCGTTATGGTATACACCGGTAAATATTCGCGGCTCGGTCGATCTTTCGATCGCAGCGCCCTCTGAGACGCCCGACCAACAATTTCTTTTTCCCCCCCGTATATCCTTTTCCCGGACGCGGCCCTGAGCCTCACCGAGGAAAAATATCTGTTTCAGTTGTTATTATTGACTCTGTGACACTGTGACGCGAGTGAATGATATCCGCCCGATCTCGTACGAATTTCGAGGAAAGAATCGGAAGAGGGAGAGAGAGTACAAGTTGGATATCTTTTTCGGGACGACGATTGTTTGGATATCACGATGGCGATATGCGAACGTGAGTAATATAATATTTTATAGATTCGATGTGGATTCGATCATCATATTTTGATTTAATTCAAAGTTTGCTTTTCCAAGTATTTCCTTTTCTTTTCTTTTCTTTTCTTTTTTTGTCGGCGTTCGATTAATTTTCTTAAGAGGAATTCGAAATCGATCTAATTTTTCTTATTCCGGAATCATCGAATTTTAACATCGACAATAATATTGACTTGACATTTATCCCCCTTTTTTAGCGTGACACTCTCGAGTTTGAAATTCCAGAGTAAACACGACATTGGCCAAGACAAGCCTTTCGACGAAAGGTTAAATTATTTTGAAGCGATCCTTCTCGCTTTCTTTCGCTTTATTCTTTCCTTTGATAATACAATGGTAACTTGTAAAAAAGAAAAATTCTATTGTTTCAACGTCATCGATGCATACACTAATGCGAGGATTTTTCCTTCTCCGTCACGAAACTTATCTTTGTCGATCGAAATTAATACATTTTTCTCACGTACGCAAATAAAACGTGTAATCAAGAATCGTCTCGCGTGTTCGTTTTCCTCGAAGAAGAAGAAAAAAAAAAGGAAAAAAAAAGTTAACGACTATCGCAAAGTGTGGATCATCGGTTGGAAGAAAAAAAAAAAAAAAAAAAAGGAAAAAA